AAAAAAAAAAGAAATGTGCAGGGTTGAAGCAACATAGGCCTGCTGAGTCAACGCTTTTCTACACACGCCTGATCTCCATGAGTCCACTGTGCCTGGTGAACTAACAGTCATGTTTTGGATCTCCGAGAATTAGAAAATGTCTAGACCCAGTCAGTGTCCAGTAATCGCTGAACACTCTTGTGACTTCCCCTTTTCCTGTGCCCTGCCACTCTGGGAAATGGCTGCAGGTCCATTTGGAAAAGGCTAGAAGATACACAGCATGTTTTTGCCAGTGTAACATAGTCCTTCACCAAGGGACCCAACCCCTCCTCATCAGGAGGCTCTAGGTCTGAATCGGCTTGTCGGAGAATTTGCTGAAGGCAGGGCCTTGCATTTTTGGCATACTCAGCAGAATGCGGGGCAATGTTGGAGACACATTGTGGAGCGTCTCCTAACATTTACTTGAAGGGGTTTTCCTACAAATTAGATTGGAGTGTACAAGGTACTTAACACAGTACGTGGCGCATCATTAAATGCTCAACAAAGTAGCTACAATACTGTTGCAGTAGGCCAAAGAATAGAGTGAACATAGGCTACTCCTTCAAGAAATTTAGCTGAGGGGCGCCTGCCTGGCTCAGTTGGTAGAGTGTGCGACGCTTGATCTTGGGGTTATGAGTTATTACTTAAAAATAAAATCTTAAAAAATATTTATCATGTTTAAAGACTGGCATGTGTGTGTTCCAGCAAAGAGAGGGACTCTGAAACCATAAAATTAAGGGGAGAGACGAACAATAGCAAAATCCCTGAGAGGACAGATGAAATCCAAGGACAGCTTTGTTGGCAAGCATGGTGCATAAGGGAGTCCCCTGAGGTGGTTCCTGGAAGCAGGTAAATACTTGCAGTCACACTGGTAAATGTGGGGGCAGTGGGGAGTGGAATGTTAAGAGTTCCCATGTGAAACCTTGTGTTTCACTGGTGAAGGACAGAGGGAAGACTTAAGTAATAAGGAAGGCTCAACTGAGGTTGGAGATCAGGAAAGGCGTCATGCTGGCTTTCAGCAACCCTGCAATTTTTTCTTCTTCACAGCTCGTACATAGACATGAAGGCAGATGGGAGGTAAATCCATACTGGGACTGTGAATCCGTTCGCTCTTTGGTTGCAAGTAACAGAAACTCTACCTAAAACAGAAGGGGGAGTTTATTAGAAGGATACTGGGATCTCCCACTGAAAACAGGGCCAGGATCACAGCTGGTCAATGGAACGGACCCTGGGACTAAAGTGCTTTAGGGAACCTAGTAAGTTGTCACTCGTCTCAACCCTCCACAGACCACACACTGGAACTTGGCCACCAGTGGCTCGCAAGTCTTGGAGTTACAATCCAGGCCAAAGAAAGTTACAAAATTCCTAGGTAAAGAAAGAGTTGGGTGAGCCTGGAGTCTCCTTCTCTCTCTGCCCCTTTCCCGCTCTCTCTCAGAAATAGACATTAAAAAACAACAACAACAACAAAAAACTGTAAAAATTTCTAGTCAGTCAAGGACCTACACTTACATTTTATAAATAGTAATTCCACAAGGAACATAATTCATTTATCAGACATTTTAATGAGACCCAATCTGGTACGACCCCTGTCTTGGGGTAGCTCATCCATTCATCCAAGGAGAAACAGTTACAATGCAACTTGCTAAACACCAGAACAGAGGTAATTACAAACACTGTTCCCCAACTGCTCCCCGACTTTGGGGCTGAGATGAGGAGAGCCGAAGGAACAAGCAATAGGGGTAGGAACATGACCCACTCCAGCCGTTGGAATAGGAGAGAAGTCATGTTTGGAAATTCCAATTTGGTGCAGCTACCCAAGGCAAAGTGGTAGGCCTTGTTCATTTAATGCGGTAAAGCTTTACTGAGCATCTACTCAGGGGTAGGTACCAGGGAGGCATATCAAAGATTAAGACACATTGCTGCTGCTGCTTTGGAGAGCTTATGTGAGGAAGGCAGGCATGAGCACAACTTGATGACTGTTGACTCTACCCTCCTTGAATGGCCTCACTCCATTTTATGAAAAATGTTGGCTGAGGACTCCTGGAAGGTCTGTGCTGATGTCTCCTTATTCTGATGAGAAATCAGGGAAGGGTGAGACCCAGTTCTCAAGGGTTTTCCAGCCACTGGCTGCCTGGAACGAATCCAAATCCACTGGATGAAGTACAAGCTGGTCCCAGTTTTGCCTCTTGCTGCTAGACCATAGCTCCCCTGCTTTGCCTTAAAATCAGTCTTCTCCCAGAGCTTACTTTGCCTATGGCCCAGACCCACTGGAACCAATTTTTCAAACATAGGGTGCAGAAGACTTAGCTTCACAGTATGTGGTTTAAAAACAAACAAACAAAAACCTTAGGTATTTAGGTGCCTGCCACCCCATGAAGCCCCCGTGCAGTGCCACCATCCCCAAAGTCAGTGCAATCTAGAGCCACCGAGACAAGTACAGACCAAGGAGGTGTCCTGTGCACACTGTGGTGCCGGCTTTAAAAGGAACATTGAAAACCCAGCACCTGTGTGGAGAGCGAGCATGTGTGTGGGAACTGAAACCCTGTCTTTAAGGAATGATGGACCAAACGATGCTGTTTAACCTGAAAACGTGGGGCAAAAGCAGTCGTGATAGAGTTCTCTGAAATGCTGTCACGCACATGAAGTATGACATGTTCTGGGCAAGGCTTATAGGGAAGGAGAATGTGGTCCTGAACAGCCTTCTAAAGATCGGAGCTATCCCACAACGAAATGACCTGCCTTGTGAGGTAGTAAGCTCCCCGTCAAGGGAGGTTTTAAAGCAAGGGTAAAAAACAAAAAAACAACACTTGGCAGGAGTGTGTAAAAAGAGGGCTAGATCAGGTTGGCTTTAACCACGTATGGAGGAAGGGGCAGAGTATGGGATTCTCCTGACTGTGCAAGAGGACAGGTAACCCCTGTGACAAAGCAAAAGCCAACAGCCTCTAAAGCAGACGGGAGAACTCTCAGTCCTGATATCCACACACAGAAATTCTTTCAGGACAGGGTAGCCGGGAAACAACCAAATGATGTCACCTCTCCTAACGGGACCGTCCGTTCTCGACACATCCAGTAAGGCAGCCAGTGTGGTGGAATACACTGAAGTTCAGGTCTCTGCGGCAGGGAACCTGGGTTTTTGCTCTGACTCTGCCCTGTATGACCTGGGGCTCTCCTTCCCTTCTCCGGGCCCCTCCATGCACTGAAATGAACTGCCACTGTCCTTCCCACACTAAAGGGCATCGCCCTTCTGGCTGGCCCCCCCTAGAGCAGATCTAGCGCTACAGTTTTGGGCCCTGGGGCTACACTTGTGGACGGCCAGAGACCACCTCTGGCGGAAGCAACGGCCACACTCCAGGCAGGGGAAGGGCTTCTCCCCGGTGTGCAGGAGCTGGTGCTGGGCCAGGTGGCTCCACTGGGCAAAGCGCTTGGAGCACAGGTCGCAGGCGTACGGCCGCTCGCCCGAGTGGACGCGCCGGTGACTGGCCAGGAGCGAGGGGTAGGCGAAGCGGCGGCCACAGTCTTCGCACGCGTGCAGCTTCTCCTCGGTGTGCGTGCTGCGGTGAATGGCGAGGGAGCCGCTCCGCCGGAAGGCACGTCCGCAGTCTGGGCAGGGGTACGGCTTCTCCCCCGTGTGCAAGAGCTGGTGCTGGAGCAGGGTGCTGCGCTGGGAGAAGCGGGCCTCACAGTGCTCGCAGGCGTAGGGGCGCTCCCCGGAGTGTACCCGCCGGTGGCTGACCAGGCGGGAGGAGGAGGAGAAGCGCCGCTCACAGTCCGGACACGGGTAGGGCTTCTCGCCGGTGTGGATGCGCTGGTGGATGACGAGGGCGGTGCGCTGACGGAAGCGGCGGTTGCACTCCAGGCAGGTGTAGGGCTTCTCCCCCGTGTGTGTGCGCTGGTGGATGGCCAGCAGCGAGGGATAGGCAAAGCGACGCCCGCAGCTAGGGCACTGGTGGGGCTTTTCACCCGTATGCGTGGTCCGGTGATTGGCCAGGGACCGGCTCCTGCGGAAGCAGCGGCCACAGTCAGGGCAGTGGTAGGGCTTCTCGCCTGTGTGGATAACCTGGTGCTGCGAGAGGTTCTTGCGCTGGGAGAAACGTTTGCCACACTGGTCGCAAACATAGGGACACTCACCAGAGTGTGCCCGCCGGTGACTGACCAGCAAGGAGGGGTAGGAAAACCGGCGCCCGCAGTCTGGGCAAGGGTAAGGCTTCTTCAGATTCTGGGCACACTTGTGGCTCTCCAGGGCCAGATGATCAGGGAAGGTGCAACCACAGTCAGGGCAGATGGGGCCCCCCGACGTCTGCCTGGGGATCAGTCGGGGTTTGCTGGGCCGCCGCCCTCGCTTCCCCTTTCGGGGTGCCTCCTTAGGTGGGAATACTTCCTTGTCTCCGTTCTTCTTTCTGGTTCTGGTTTCTACAGGAACACAGGGAGAAATTAATTTAACAAATACTGGGCCCCCACCCTTGCCTAAGACAGTGTTACAGGTTGGAACACAAACAGACTCAGCCCCTCTTCAAGGAGTGTCAGTGCCACAGACAATCTGTGTCAGTGCCACGGTGACGTACTACTATAGAAATAGAGGAGATTCCAAGAGTCCCTAACTCAATTTGGAGAAGTCAGAAAAGGTTTCTTGGAGGTTATGCAGATTTTACAAATTAAAAGTTTTTTAACAGGTTAAGTGTAAGGCAAGGAAGCAGAAACAAATGAGCTATGAGCTGGCTATAGGCTATGAGCTATAATGGCTATGAGCTGACTAGGTTCTAAGGCCGTCTAAGCCAATGGGTCTCAAATTTTATTGTGATCAGAAGCATTTGGATAACTTACTGAGACAATTTTGGATTCAGCAGGTCTGGGATGGGGCCCAAGAATCTGTATTTCTAATTCTTTCCTGACTGATGCTGCTGCTGGTCTGAGGACCACACTCCGAGAACCACTGCTGTATAGGGCCTTGAACTATATTTTATCCAGTGGTTCCCAAATCTAAACGTACATGCCAACTGACTGGGGCCGTTACAAACGGCCTAGACATCCATAAGAGTAAGTCAATAGTTCTGGGTCCAGGAAATCTGTGTATTTTTTTTTTTAACCAAGTTCCCCAAATGACTTGATATAACTGACAGCCATTTGCCAACCTGTCGTGGCAAAAACGGACACGTTTTTTTTAAATACAAAAAAAAATTAATGTTTATTTTTAAGGGGGGGCACGCAGGTAGGGACAGAGAAGAGAGGGAGACACAGAATCGGAAGCAGGCTCCAGGCTCTGAGCTGTCAGCACAGAGCCCGATGCAGGGCCCGAACTCACGGACCTCAAGATCATGACCTGAGCCGAAGTCAGAAGCTCAACCGACTGAGCCACCCAGATGCCCCGCAAACTAACAGGTTTTAAGTAAGGAAGTATCATGGTCAGATCTGAATCTTGGAAAGATAGCACCGGTCTCAGAGAATCTGGCACCAAAACTCCAGCTCCGACAGTTACATCCGTCCCTGTGGGTGGATCTGGGGTCCTTCTACCTGAATGGCATCAATCAGAGCCTTGCTTGATCCTGAGAAGAGTACAGATTCCTGCACTGATTAGCAGTCACCCCGCCAAAAGGGCAGAAAGAGGGCCCTACATCCCAGGCAGCTGTTCCCTATGAGATCCGTTCAACCAAAGTCCGGAAAACTCAGAAAGGTACCAGGTGCCTCAGGGCCCAATTCAAAGCTAGCTGAGGACAGGGATCCTGGGAAGGACACCGGAGTGTAACTCCTTTGAAAAGCTCACTGGTTCATTCACACAATAGAGAACCGCAGACCGTTAGTTTGCAAACTGATGGGTAAACCACCGTATGGTGGACCCACCCAACACCATCAGAGAGACAAGACCCTGAAGTTATGAAAACCAACACAGTAAGTAAGTAAAGCATTACAGGACGGGCCAGAGGAACCCCTAGCTACCAAAACTTGAAACTGAGTCATTAGAGGCCGCAGGCCCTCCACAGGCATTTTTCACTCACTTCTTTGGACTGCTACCCCCCGTGGGCACTCCTGCGGATCCAGAGCAGCCGGTTCCCAATCATCGGTATTTCGTTCCAACCAGGAGATGAGGGCTGGTTTGGGACCTGCGCACCCTGGGGAAGGAGAACCAGTCAGACGCCCAGCTCCTAGATAACGCTGGGTAAATACCTACCCGGTGTCATCTCCTGCCAAGACCCTGTCCTCCTCCCCTGACACAACCTGGTCGCAGGCCAGGTCCCTGGACACTCTGCCGTCCCCCCAACCCCCGCCCCTAAGCTCCTCCATCCCTTCGGGCCCCGCGGAAGCGAATTGGGCCGGGCCTCACCGAGCGCGCCCAGGTGGCCGTAGGTCTCCCGCATCACGTCCCGGTACAGGGCCCTCTGCGCGGGGTGCAGACACCCCCACTCCTCCGTGGAGAAGTACACGGCCACGTCTGCGAACTTCACCGCCCTCGGCCTCCTTCCCCTTCTCCGGCCGGGTCTGGCCTCTCCTGGTCCCCGCGCAGAGAGCGGAGCCGAAGGTGGCGCCATTGGACCCCAGAAGCCGGCGCCACGGCCTTCCCCGTCTCGGCCTGGACCCCTGGCAGACCCGGAGATTTGGGAGCCCCCGCCGGACCGGGGCTGAGTGTGCCTGGGGAGGCCCGGAGGGAATCGGAATTGGCCGCCTTGCAGGGCTAACGGAAACCTTTCGCTGTTATTCAGGAAACTCCTGCCCGAACTTGGGTGAAAGGCACCGGAAGATGCCTTCGGGGAAGATGGCGGCGCTGCTCCCGCACCGCCTTAGCCTGGAACACAGGCAGCTTCCAGCTATCGATTTTATTGACCGGAGCGCCATGCCGGCTTCCTAACCTCTTTGCCCTCAAGTGTGATGGCGCTGCGATTGGGCTTCACGCCCTTTTTCCCCCCATTACACGCGCTCATTGGGCAGCGGCCGAAGATCGAGCTTCCTGATTGGGTGCTGTCGAAAGCGGCCTGTTTAAACGAAGCCAACGGAAGCGTAAGGGCAGGAAGTCGACCCTTCAAGCCGGTTGCCTCTGGCCGGTTCTGAGTCCGGCAGCTGTGAGCTAGCCTGGCGTCGCTGACGGGCCCCTATTCTCTGGCACGCGCTGCCTCGCGGAGGGAGGGAAGGATTTGAGTGACGGAGCCACTCCGGCCAGCCCGGGGCTGAGATTACCCCGGGTGACCTTCTCAGAGAATTGGATAACTTCCTTGTTGCCTTTTGGGGAGGGAAATTAACGTTGGCGTTTCCTGCGCGCAGGCACCATTCCCCTCTAATAAGAGGGGATCTTATTTATTCTTTGTTACTATTGTGTGAAGTCGTTGGTGGTCACCATCCAGTTCTACCGATGAGGAAAATCTCAGAGGGATACTGCTAGTAAGGAGAACCAACAGATTTAAACCCAGGGCCAACCGGGTCTTCATTCATACCGCAGAACACGACCCCCTGCCCCGCACTATGCGAATTCGCTGGTCAACTCAACAATCAGAGCTCCTGGCCTGTTTCCAGGTTCAGTCTTATGCACATCTCCGTTCCTTCTTTTTACATGACATTTGTTCAGTGTACAAAGCGTAGTGCTAGGCAGTTTGGAAATAAGTCATGAACCATGCTCTGAATGAAGATTGTAGTTGAGTGAGGCATATAAATTTACAAATGAACAGAGTGCAGCAAGCATGTATGTGAAAGGCATAGGAAAATTGCCGATGTAACCAGTCGGCTCCCACTCCATCAGTCCCGACTTCTGTCTAAGTGTTGTTGTTCAGGGTTTCACCAGCTCAGGGTCATCTCCCAGGCGATCTAGGGGGCAGAGAATATGCCATTTGCTACATACCTCAACTGGTGACATCTCTCTCTCCAACCCATTGATCAATTTGTTAAAGCACCTTTTATGGATAAAACGCTATCCCAGAGCTGACCAGGAGTGAAGACAACATTTCAGGAATTCACAAGATAACCTGGTGAGGTAGTAAAGCTTTCTGAGGAAGATGACTTTTGAACACAGGAGGTAGGGAAAAACAAAACACACCAACAACAAAATGACAGTAAACACTGAGTTCTACTCTGTCCCAAGCATAGTGACTGTCTATTGAACAAACTACTGGGGGAGCAAGTGGAATGTCAAGATTGCCAAAATGAGTAAGACAGAATCCCTGCTTTGAATGACTTTCCAGACTGATGCATCAAGTGGGAAATGAGTTTGGTCTATGAATGGGTGGAATTCAGAGAGGGCAGCAGTGCTCAATGTATATTTGTTGAGTAAACAGCTGAATTCCATGACCATAAACATCTCTGATACAAAGCCAGGAATTCAGGAAAGTTCTGAGTGTGAAGGGAATGAGGACATTTTCTGATGCAGTGCCAGATACTGTTAGGGTGAAACAAGGATTGAGGGGCCCCTGGGTGGCTCAGTCTGGTAAGTGTCCAACTTTTGGTTTCAACTCAGGTCGTGATCTTAGGGTTTGTGAGTTCAAGCCCCCCATCAGGCTCTGTGCTGACAGCGCGGAGCCTGCTTGAGATCCTCTCTCTCTCTCTCTCTCTCTCTCTCTCTCCTTCTCTCTCTTCCCCTCCCCTGCTTGCACTCTCTCCCTCTCTCTCAAAAATAAACAAACATGGGGCGCCTGGGTGGCGCAGTCGGTTAAGCGTCCGACTTCAGCCAGGTCACGATCTCGCGCTCCGTGGGTTCGAGCCCCGCGTCGGGCTCTGGGCTGATGGCTCAGAGCCTGGAGCCTGTTTCCGATTCTGTGTCTCCCTCTCTCTCTGCCCCTCCCCCGTTCATGCTGTGTCTCTCTCTGTCCCAAAAATAAATAAACGTTGAAAAAAAAAATTAAAAAAAAAATAAAAATAAAAAAAAAATAAACAAACATAAATAAAATAAAAACCCTGAAGGATTGAAAGGATAGGTTGACACCAGATATTGGATGGTTTCATCCTGCACATCGGGGAGCTCTACACCGGTCTAAAGAAGTGAATTACCTTCTGTTAATATTTTAAGAGAATTACTCTGATAGTGTGCAGGGCAAACTGATAGCTTTGTGCCACACATAGTTCAGTTTGGAGAAATCAGAAGGTAAACGTAGGCTGCTGAGGGAATAAAAGGGCAAACAGACAGCAAACTATTTCATTGGGAAGACAATGAGTAAACAGAGAAGGTTGGGAAGGAATCAGACTTCCTCTGTGGATATTTTGCCTAAATGGTAATGATGCACTGTCAACGATGCTGACATTGATTAGGAAAGAAGATGGTTAAATACTGAGGAGAAAGAGTGTTAAGCCCTCTTCCCACATACAGGAGATGGCAAGACAGGCTCAGCCTCGCCCTTTTGGCCCTGGGCTGGAAAGGCCCCATTTGGCCTGGCTTGCCAAAGATGATCTTGGCCAAGGTGATCTTGGTGGGAGCCACTAAGGCAGAGCCTAGGAATCAGGCAGAGTCAGGTGCTCTTACCTATAGGGAAACATTTTGGAGAGAGATGCACCCAGGACTTCATGTGAAAGCAGAGGCCCTTGCTCCCTTCTGTATAAATTCCTGGATTCACACTGGGCACAGGGACACGCGGGGCTCCTCCTGCAGAATGTCCACTGTAGAGAAGGATGGAGAAGATCCAGGGAGTCTACACACCAAGAGGCCACCAAAGGCCCCCTGTTTGGGGTAAAGGGAAATGGTGTTGAAAGCCAGCTAGGTCCCAGGTGCCACCTCGTAGGCACGTCGAGATAGACAACCACGGTGGAAATTCACCTTCCAGAGTCCTTTATGAGGATGGTTAGCAGACAGTTGAGCAGACTGCCTGTTAGTAAAGGTGGGGATGAGATTTGAAGCTGGAGAATGTCCTCTGCCTTGCACTGGCAGCTCTAAACTGGGTGAAAGGCTCTGAGCGTCATTTCTCCTTGTTTCATGCTCAGTGAGAGGAAAGCATCAGGCAGTGCAACCTTCGATTTGCCTAAAATGCCATTGCGCCATAAACCCAGACTCCAGCAAGCAGTGTTAGTCCTGGGACAAAGTCATGGGTAATGATGGAATCTTCCCGTTCCTTAACAGATTCTTGCAGTCCAGTTCCAACCTGTCCATTTCTGGGTGACGTAACTCGCTGGTACATTTCCGATTACCTCTATATCCTGCTCTCTGAAGGAGGACTCCAAGGCACCTATGGACTTTGTCACTTTGTACACCTCCCCCTTTTTTCCTCTCTCTCTTGCCTCCACCCGCTCTGAGTGGTGAACACTTGACAGGAAACAATGTCTTCCATCATAAACCCCTTCGCAGCACTTGACCCCAGTCACCCACACTCCTGGAATGTATCCAATAATGGACATGAACTGAGGGTCTTGATCCCCAAGGGAGGAAGCTGGCTCAGGGCTCCCACACCTTGGCCCTTCCGTGTATCCCTGATGGATTCCATGGTGGGCTTTCTGGGCATGCTTCCTCTTGGAGCTTTTCCCACATTCAGTGCAGGGAAAGGGCCTCTCATGAGAGTGGATGTGCCTGTGGCTGAGCAGGGAGGAGTGCAGGAAGCAGATGCCACATTCTGGGCAGGGGGAAGGTTTCCCCGGGTGTGCGTGGGCATCTGTGAACGGTCAAAGGAGCCTGTGGCAGGAACACCGCCTTACAGCCACAGCACCAGAGGGCTTCTTTCCCGTGTGGATAAGCTGGTGCTGGAGCAAATTTTTTTGGTGAGCAAAAGTGAGTACCACACTATAGACCATGGTATGGCAGTGTTTACTCAAGTGCATAAGCAGGTGGTTGGCCGGGAGGCGGGTATGCAAAGTCGCATCCCCAGTCTGCCCACATGTCTGCACTTATGGGCACCCAGGGCACTTCCCCGGGTGGAGGCAGCGGGTGCAGTCAGGACACGGGTGTGCCCTATGTGGAGCAGCTGGTGCTAGATCAGGTGAGCCCTCCGGGAAACGGGGACACCACAGGAGCCACTCACACGGGGACAGTCACCGGAGTAGTCTGTCCGTGTCTAACAGTGAGGGGGTGGCAAAGAGCTGCCCACAGTCCAGACTTGCATAAAGCTTCTTCCTTCTGTAGGTGGCCAGGGCCCTACTTTTTCAAAGGCAGCAGCCACACGGCAGGGGGG